AGGAGGGGGGGGGGGGGGGGGGGGGGCTTCTTTTCTAAATGAATGTGAAAAATTAAGAATTATATTGCTATCAAACAATAAATACAGCCACTGTAACATTAGCCTGTATCATAGAGTGTATTAACCGGGCATTAGGAGGTATTCGCTGCACGACGTTAACCTTAACGTTAACGGATGACGTCATAACATATTCATATTGCGTTGCGGAGTACGTTAATTTCAGGATTTTACGTGCTCGACGTACGTTAGTTACGGGTTTGCGCATGCCTATTTCGATTTGTTTACAAAAGGGGCGGAGCTATAGCGCTGCATTTTTAGTACTAACGTTAAAGTTAGGGTTAACGTCGTGCGGCGAAAAATAGGTAGTTTTTCGCCGCACGACGTTAACCTTAGCTTTGACGTTAGTACCCAACATGCAACGCGATAACTCCGCCCCTTTTGTAAACAAATCGAAATACACATGCGCAAACCTTTAATGCTTTAACTACCGGTAACGTCCGTCGAGCAGGTAAAATCCTGAAATTAACGATACTCCGCAACGAAAAATGAATAAATTATGACGTCATCGGTTAACGTTAAGGTTAACATCGTGCAGCGAAAACTCCATTCCCTACTACCTATTAACGTACTCCGCAACGCAAGATGAGTAAATTATAACGTCATCCGTCGTTAACGTTAAGGTTAACGTCGTGTGCTTCGAAAAACTGCCGAATACCTATAATGAATCACTTCGAGGCTACTTTTGCAAACAAAAGAGGGAGCTTCAATTCGAGATGGTCTTCTTCTCGAGATTAAGCCCACTGGGTTTGTATTCGAGGTTTTACGGTATAGGACTTTCAAGCAACTGATGGCGCTATATAGGAGAGGTCACGGTACGACGTCACCCTCAGTTAGCCAGAAATTTAGTCAGTTCTGTCGGGCGATGTGTGTTTCTTGTTTGTTTTCATTAAAAATAACTTAAGGTTAATCAGTTTTATAAGATTATTGAAGAATACCAGACAGTTAGTATTATACCTTTGCAATTTCTTAAGTTAATGTAGCCTTCTATATAGAGAGGCTAGGCCTAGCCTTAGGCTAGGCTTCAGTCACCTCTCTAGCTAGCTAGAGTAGGGCCTAGCCTAGTAATAGCCTAGGCTAGGCTGTGATTTACAGGCAGGAAAGTGGGCCTAGGTCTAGCCTGGGGACAATGCCATCAGTTCCGGCCGCGAACCTAGAGTTAGGCTTATGTGTTACCACGAGTGAAAACTTGAAATTACACTTGTTTCTTGAAGTTATTGCATGTTATGCCAAGGCCCTAAACAGGCTTCCCTTCGGGCGGTTTGACAATTAAAACATGTTTGCCTTTCACACAGCTTATTAAGTCAATATGCATACAGTATTTATTTATCAATATTATACTATTTAGGACATTTATTACTTTAGTCATCAATTTCATCAAATTGACTGAAAATATACAATACAAAATGTGTTCCATTCCCAAGTTGTTTGTGGTTGAAACTGTCCTTTACCAGCAGCAGGCTTACACACGGGACTTGGAGACCTTCCTTAAAAACCTGCCTAAAGAAAAGTGGTGTATTTACATATGTATGGTACCATTCTGGCTGAAATGATGCTGCTAATACTAATAAAAAACTTAATTTACAATTTTTAATTTTCAGACAGATTTTTAATTAAGTTGACAGTCAAGAATTGGCCGGCTATCTAAAACATGTGTGACATCACAACAAATTCAAGTATGCAAGCTGCTTCTACTAAGCCTAGCACAAGTGAAGTGTCTGCTAAAGACAAGAAGGCAGAAAGAATGAAGAAACTCCGAGAACTACACCTTAAAAGGGTAAGAAGTTGAAAATAGGCTGTAGATATTGTTCTGACAACCTTATGTAAATCCAAGGTGTTGATTGGTGGAACTGGTTTGACCCCAACCGAAATTTACTATCTTAATGCACTATGACTTGTCGGAAAAATATCCATAATGTTGAAAATATACCAACTGGATTATCAGTTTTGTTATCATAAACATTATCTTAAAAATGTTTTTTTTGTTGTTTATATTATTTATTTACATAGAATGAGGCAAGAAAATTAAACCACGCTGAAGTTGTAGAAGAAGATAGAAAAGCAAAGCTACCTTCAAACTGGGAAGCAAGGAAACGCCAAGCTGATTGGATACTACAGGATGATGAAAAAAGAAAGGTTTGTTTAAAGATACAATGATCTAAATTAAAGTATGGAATCTTGTGGTGAATTTTTCCCTATAGATCCCCTCAGGCAACACGTTTATCCAGTACCAACATAAAATAATAAAACATACTTGTTTTCTCATCAGATCTTGTGGAAACGTTTGGGCCTTGGTCCTAGCTTATTTAAGTGAGGGAAACACAATAAATGTATGCCCAGAATTATAATTCTATGAAACACAATTATCATATTCTAGATTGTTAAATAAACACGTTATATTTTCATTGCAGATTTTTTGGGCTCAGTATGGACTCAAAAAGTATGCATTTTCTTTTAGTTTTAAGGCGTATGCAGATTTGATAAGTCTGCAATGACGATATAATGTGTTTGTACATCAGCTTTAGATTTACACATACATGTTCTAGATGAAAATGAGTGATGTATTGCTTTCGTATTTTATGTGCTTTATAAAATCTTAAACTAGAATGCTGAAGAAAAAGGTCTGGATTATGATAGATTGAAACTGCTGGATGTTACAGCAGAGGAAGCAGAAAGAATTGAAAAAAAGAAAAAGAAAAAGAATGCTGACCCAGGCTTTTCAGGTAAATCACATAATAATATATAGGTTTTAAATATACAGCCCTAGCTGTACCTAGCCAACAATATTACGTTCTAAGAATGTTATAATAACATTACAATATATTTTGTGACATACCTAACCACAACATTCGCAAACGTTTTGTGTTTGCTGGGTAGTCTCTCAGAGCGCTAGTACACACAAAAATAAATAATGAATAATTAAATATTAAAAAGATGCTTTGTATGTTGTAGTTAAAGTTTTGCACTTACAACAATGAACCTTTCTACTAGAACCCACCCTTGGAAATATGTTTGCTAAATTTTTCAAAAGATGACTGTGTAAAGATATGTACACATGCGCGAAGTCACTAATTTAAATTTTAGACTAAATTGTGGTATTAAACTTTGTATGCACTATTACATTTTGTGAGAAAAGCCATATATAGGCATAATGATCTCATCGCAAGTACTTGTCAAATATAATTTCTAGACATAACTTTACTCTGTACACTTACTTTCTTTCGCAACAATAATTTATCTGAACATAACTTGTGGCAGGGGATGGTAACACAACACTCCTTTGTTAAATGTATTCCAAATTATTTGTTTTCCAGATTATGAACAGGCCACATTCAGACAATATCAACGATTGACAAAACAAATGAAGCCAAACATGGAGGATTACGAACGTAAGAAAGAAAAAATGTAAGTACGAGTTGTATTGTACATCTGAGGTCAATTTCGGGGGTCCAAATTTGGAAGAATCCACATCCGAGAGATTCTGTTTCAATGAGCTTTCTTAGCACATCTAAATATATTCTGATATGGATGGTGATACTCCTTGGATCTGACATGCGGGAGACAATTGATAATACAGTATTAACAACTGGTAAAAACTTGCAAATACTGTGAATTTGCAGGTGGGCTATTTTTCCAGACTTCCCCGGCTTCCTGGAGACTTGGGACCCCTGCAAATTACAGCTTCCAACAAGCATGCTAAAAATCTATAGCCAGCCTATGTCTTTTTATTCAACATTGGTGCATGTGACCTATACTGGTTACGTGTGAAGATACTTGTAGTAATTTCAAGATATTCATCATGAATAAATCATTTATTTTTTAGGGGTGAAGATATGTTCCCAACAGTAAACAGTCTAATGCAAGGTGAACATAAAGACAGTGAAGAAGCTATTGACAGAATGGTAACAGACTTAGAAAAACAGTGAGTAAACTTTAGAATTAATATCACCTCTGTATGTACTCTTATATTATTTTATCAGTAATTTTATGTAAAATCAGTAATTTTATGTAAAATGTTTCATACTTTCGCGATGTGTTGTTTACTTTTGCAACATGCGCTGTAGCTCACAGGAAGTAAGGTCAACGTCATTATAAGCTCCGCCCACCTACCAATATTTTTTATTTATTAATTATAGCATCCATGCCTAAAAAAATAAGTGGGAGTGGTTTACAAAATGCTTATATGCATGCTCTAACCGCAAAGCCCACACACTTTTGTACAATAGTTTACACAGTAGTCAATTCAACATCAGGACACACGTTTCTGCTCCTGAACATAACGTGTGCGTACAGAGTCCTTTGATCTTAACAGCCGTCAATTATTAGTCTATGCATGCCATACATTTTATGGTGTTAGTTACTATTTTATTAATTATGTGTACTTACAATGTCTGTTACATCTGATGAACCACCGGACACCACATCATCGGTATAATTTGTCTTATAACAAATATAATTTCAGTCTAATGTTAGTGCAAAAAATAACTGTTAATTATGGTATGGTTTTTGTGACCATGAAGGGCATGTTATGGACGCGTAGAATGTTGATACCAGAGCTATAACCTTTGCTGCCCGAGATGTGCATACTAGGAATAATCCTCTTGTGATTTGGACAGCACTAATATAAAAGCCAAAAATTATTTTGTATTTGTGATATGAATAATGATTGATTGTTTCTGTTATGTTCTAGAATTGACAGACGTGGAAAATTCAGCCGCAGACGAATGCATAATGAGGACAATGACATTGATTACATTAACGAAAGGAACAAGAAATTCAATGAAAAGGCTGAACGCTTTTATGGCAAATACACCGCAGAAATTAAACAGAATCTGGAAAGAGGAACTGCGGTATAATCATTGTATTTTATTGTGATGTACATTTCTCATGAAAGCCAGGCACTAACTGTCGTACAACCGTTGTCCGATGGCCCCAACACGACGTGACACTGTCTGCTGATTGTATGGTAACAGTCTGAATGGATTGTCATTAAAAAGGATACGTGGCGCAGTGCCTGGTTTATGTGCGATATTCAGCACAGTAGTAGAATTTTCATTGGGTGTGTACCTTCACATTGAACTGATTTTGACCAAGATATTCTCTGTGGCTTAATCATATATCTATTCACACTAGTAAGTCTACATCAAAACAAAAGTAACCGGATATTGCAGATACATGCTGAAGAAAGTTTTAACCAACTAGTACTGTTTACTAAAGAGTTAAGTTTGGGTAATTTGAGGAAGAACAAGGGATTAAGTTATACTGTGCAATTTTATAGAGTGAAGATATAAGATACTAGAGCAGATTGCTGTTGGTATAGTATAATGGCCTTTAACTGGTAGCTACAGTAGTCCTAACTGATTTTAGCTAGTTTTATAAGCACACATCTATTGATGATCACTGCTATAAAACAATCTTTGTTAAGACTGTAAAGGGGTTGGAGGTGGGGGGGGGAGGTAGTGGTTTGGGGCTTTTTCGACAGGATTGCAAGAAAAGTGACCAAAGCTCCACACTTAGAGGAAGTGTGATGTACAACACCCTATGACAGACTAGGCATCCGAGTATAGTAATGTATATCTCATTTTTTACTGTATATGATTGTAATATGCTGTATCAAATTAAAGTAAAAAAAAAACCTCAGTATGGTTGAAACGGATTTCTGTATTTTAAGATTTATTGAAAATTTTTAAGACATTATTTCTTTCTTTTAAAGTTACAAAAAACATTGCAATAACCTGAAATAGAAAATAACACGCTTTTATTGTTTGTTCATATTAACTATACCAATTCTTGGCGACAGTATGAGATAACAAAACATGGTAGACAACAAGAAAACTAATGCTGGCTACATATGTGATTATGCCGCAGACAAGGCCGAGCTGGGAAAAGCGAAGAGCCCACTTCGATGATGCAACAGCGCCCTCATAGTCACGCCTTTTGTACTGTTCTTCATGGTTCAACAGTAGTCGAGTGTTGTACGTTCGTCATCATGGACCGTTTTCCGGAGTGACCAATCAGAACAGGCCCAGGAATACGCTTGTGTCTAACAAGCGCACGCGTTTTCCCGCAAACGCACGTGTTTGCGTATGTTTTGAACAGAACAATATGCAAGGGGCGGGGCTTAGCTGGAAGGTCCGTTGTGTGGAAGGGGTGTGAAAAAGGAATAATATTCGTTTACACTTTTGGATTTTTTTGGTCATTGTTGATGGTTCAATTAAAAATTAATACAATAGTTTTTTTTTTCCTTAAAAATCTCCAGAAAATTTATAGTTTTGCTTATACTTTTAAGATGGCTGGTTTCGATTCGAGAATTCATTCACAATATCAGCAGGCTGACTTGTGATGTCAGGCGCTCTTTCAGACTTCAATCCTCCTATTTTTTTTTTTCTTTTTCAATTTTTATGGTCTGTTATGTCTGCAATAAAACCTGAAGTATCCTTTATCAGAATTTGACAATGCAATAACATATCCTTACATTAAGTGATTTACAGAGTCCAAAGAGTCCGAAAGGAAAACAGCAAAATATTGTCACCAAAAGTGACATAGTGAAGTAGTTCTTTGGCATGGGTGGTCGTTGAGGGTGTCCGCCGACAACCACTACGTCATTTGGATGCTGTATCGCACAAAAATAGTAATAACAAAATAAAACAAATAGTAGTACAGTAATGTATATTTATTATATTAATGAAATAAAAACAGTTGGAAATATATGGTATACTGTAATGGAATGCATGCATGTTTCTATTATCTAAACACTTTTACATTGTTTCTATGTTCAATTAAGATTGTTTATCAAAGTATGATCCAAACCCGCTTAAACACTAACCGGAACGTGTGGTGATGGTTTAGCGTGTTGAGGCGCTACTTTAGGATGAATCCCTTTCATTGCCATCATCTTGGACTAGGAATTGGGAAAAATGTATAAATGTATATATAGGCCTATATATATATATATATATAAATATATATATATATATAAATATATATATAGGCCTATGTGTATATATATTTATATATATATATATTTTATTAAAAATTAAAATTGTTATCACAGATTCTGTATATTATTATACAGAAATATGCAGGCCTTGGCCTAGCCTATTAATTATTTATATAGACCTAATAAGAGAAACCTGAATTATTATATAAGCCTATTAGTATTACACACCGTATTATTATTCAAGAAATAAAAAACGCTCCGCTTTGAATAAACGGCCTCTCTAGAACCTCATGTGGAAAGGCTTAATGTAATAATTGTAATGATAATAGTATATCTTATTTATAATGCGATTCCAATAAAAATCCAAAATAATTGTGATGTTAATGATTCATATAAAAGGCAACGAATAGACCTAATTAGGCCTAGATGGATCAACTTACCAAATTCTCAATTTCTAATTAGCTTGTTAAGTACACACTGTTTTTATAGTATTTTTATTCACGGTAGTTTGAACATGGTTTGAAATTGATATCCGAATAGAAATAAAATACGCAGTACGCAGACATTCGAAGCGCGTAATAGACCTTTCCGCTAAGCCCCACCCCTTGGATATTGTTGCTAAGGTACCACAAAATAATAGCATAACAAAAAAATGTGATGTGCCCATATATGGGTACGATGACGTCATATCAAATTTTGTGTGACAAAAAAGTGTGATATGCCCATATATGGGCATGATGACATCACAGCATGACCATATATAGGCATAGCATTACTATATATGGGCTTGTCACATTTTTTTGTCAAAGAAAATTTGATAGTGTGGATAGAGGTTCCATAACATTTTATGTGACGCTCTTTTGATGAAATTTGATAGTGTAGACAAAGCTTAAAATACGGGGACATGTGCATAATTCCTGGCCATATGCGGATTGGTTTTTGTTATTAAAGTTCGACAACTGGATAAGTTCCATTGCTGTGTGATTCTTCCTCTGTCATCATCGTCATCGTCAAAGCACATTATTTCTCCTTGATTTTACAGCTCTTATTCAAGTGTTATTTGTGCATTTTTTTAAAAATAATAAAATACATTTTTAATCGGGTTTATTTACGGATGTGTAAGCCACCTAAAGTAACAATTTGGTCTTTTTTTCACTTTTTCATATAATCTTTCGTTAACCTGTTCTTTCTGGCTTTTGATAGTAATTGTTATTGTCGTGATGGAATAATAGACAATAACTGGATTTTCGTTAGGAGAAACATGTATAGGTGTAATTTTGCCCTACCTGACGTGGAAATGTACCGAATACTCAGTACATTTGAAAACAACTGCGAAAAGAAATCGCAAGTTGTTTTCAGGTGGGACTCAAACCCACGATCTAAAGATCACTAGCCTGGCATCATACCTCTAGACCACCGAGCTTGCGCCTGATGGCCAGGGTTGAATTCGAGTCCAAGTAAGCAGCGGGTACTGCAGTGTTGATAGTAATTGTTATTTTCGTGTTGGAATAATAGACAATAACTGGATTTGCGTCAGGAGAAACATGTATAGGTGTAATTTTGCCCTACCTGACGTGGA